TGATATCAGCTAGTTCTTGAATTTCTCTTTCATTATTTTTCATTCTTTGGTTTCTCTCATCTCCTGATTTATTTCTAGATTTCTCTCTTCGATGTTACTGATCCTTTCCTCAATTTAGTCGACTCTATTTCCCAAGCTTGCTATTTCATTTTTCACCTCTTTCAGTGTTTTCTTCATCTCCAGTACTTCTATTTGGTTTTCTTTGAGGGTTTCAGTCTCCTTCTTAAAGAATTCAGTATGCTCTTTAGTTGTTTTCTCAATTCCTGGAATTGCTGATATGAATTATTTTGGATCTCATTGAGTTTTTTCAGAAGTACCATCCTGAATTCTCTGTCATTTAAGGTGCATATTTCTATGTCTGTAAGCTTATTTTCTGGAGATTTTTCTCTTTCTTTCTGAGATGCTTTGTCAGCTTGGTTTTTCATGGTGTTTAATGGACTATTTTCCCAACTGGGCATTACTGGAAGTGTATTCTGTTATTTTTCCAGAAAGAAGATTTAATATATAAATGTCTCTAGCCTCTTTCAAAGAAGCTGGTTTTCTTTTGTTTTCCAGTAGGTGGCTTCTAAGCCTCTTGGATTCCTGCTTTATATAAAGTCTTAATAATGCCTTTTTTTTCTTATAGATGTTTAATCACACTCACTACTCTCAGTCTCAGTCCCTGTCCATGTTAGCAACAGTTTTGGTAGCATTTGCTCAGATTCTCCTGGGTCTCTGCAGTGTTCAGTCTTGGAGGATATGAGAGGAGGAGCCCTCTGAGTTGGGGGATGGGCCTGCCCCTCAGCCTCACAGTCTTGCAGCCAGGGCTGGTAATAATTAACTGTTGTTTCTCTGCCATCCATGCTTTTCTGATGTCCCCACTTCTCTGCTTTCTTCCCTGATGCCTGGGCACTACCACCAGCCACGTGGAGCTCACAGCTTTCCCAGTCAGGGCTGTTAGAGAACTCATTGCACTTTCTCTCTTCCCCCTCCTTCTACAGCGAGCTCTGGCTGCGAGAGGTAGATTCTTTGTTTTTCTCAGTCTTCCAATTGACCCTCAGGGTTCTGACCTTTGGTAGGTCTTATGTGCAGATCCTATGCTCAGATGTGCTGGTGTGCGGTTTTGTTGTTTTTTCTGAGTTTTAGAGGTTCAGCTTATTGTTGCTTCAAGTGGAAAGATCCAGAGTGAATCTCTCACTCTGCCATGTTTCTGACATTCTCAAGTTTTATAGTTTTTACCTCTTAAATTTAGTTCTGTGATCTATTTTGAGTTGAGTTTTATATGTGGTGTGAGATCGTAGTCCAACTTCATTCTTCTGAATGTGGATATCCAGTAGTCCCAGCATGCCCCACTGATATTTGACAAAAGTGCAGAAGCAATTCAATAAGGGACAATAGCCTTTTCAGCCAATGATAATTGCCCATCCATAGGCAAAAAAAAAAAAAAAAACACACAACTCAGTATAAACTTCACACTTTATGCAAAAATTAACTCAATATGGATCATTGACCCAAATGTAAATCTTATAACTATAGAACTTATAGAGGAAAACATAAGAGAAAATCTTCATGACCTTGGGTTAGGTAAAGAGGTCTTAGATATAACACCAAAAGCACGATCCATTAAAAATTTGATAAATTCGACTTCATCAAAATTAAAAGTTTGCTCTATGATTGGCACCATTAAGTAAATGGAAAGACAACATGCAGACTTAGAGAAAACATTTGCAAGTTACATTTCTGACAAAAAGTTAGTATCCAGATTATATTTTTTTAAAAAACTCAAAATCCACCAATAAGAGAAATAAATAAATAAAAATTGGCAAAGGATCTGAACAGACACTTCAACACAGAGGATATGTAGATAGCAAATAAACATATGAAAAGATGCTCAACATCATTAGCCATTTATGAAATGCAAATTAAAACCATAAGGAAAGCCCACTACTTCTCTCTTAGAATGACTAAACTTTAAAAACTTGACAAGTGCTAAGGGGGATGCAGAGCAAGTGTAGGAATGAAAATACAGTACAGCCACTCTAGAAAAGTTTGTTAGCTTATTGTAAAGTTAAACTTATGCTTACCACATGACTCAGCCATACCTCTCCTAGATATTTAAACTAGAGATATTAAACTGTGTTCACACAAAAATCTATCATGAAAGTTCATAGCATTCATAATTGTTAAAAACTATAAATAACACAAATGTCCTTTAATGGATGAGTGAATAAACACTCTGTAGTACATATATATAGTGGAGAACTACTCAGCGATAAAATGGAACAGATTATTGATACATGCAAAAATGAAATGAATCTCAAAGATGTTAATGCTGAGTAAACTAAGCCAGCATCAACTGTTATTTACTATATAATTCCATTTATATGACATTTTGTAAAGGGGAAACTACAGGGGTAGATAATGACATAGTGGTTGTCAGGGGTTAGAGGATGGGCAGAGTTAAATCACAAAGGAGCAACGCTAGGGAAATTTGGGGGGTGTTGGAATGATTTTGTACCCTGATTGTGGTGGTGATCACATTAGTCCATCCAGGTCTTAAAACTCCTAGAAATGAAATATATTTGCAAGCAATGCCTCCGATAAGGGCCTAATATCCAAAATATACAAAGAACTCATACAACTCAATAACAACAACAACAAAACAAATGACCCAATCAAAAAATGGGCAGAGGACCTGAACAGACACTTCTCCCAAGAGGACATACAAATGGCCAACAAATATATGAAAAGATGCTCAACATTGCTAGCTATTAGGGAAATGCAAATCCAAACCACAATGAGATACCATCTCACACCTGTTAGAATAGCTGTTATCAACAGGACAAGTGATAACAAATGTTGGAGAGGATGCAGAGAAAAAGGAACCCTCATACACTGCTGGTGGGACTGCAAATTGGTACAGTAACTATGGAAAACAGGATGGAGATTCTTCAAAAAACTAAGAATGGATCTACCATATGATCCAGTAATCCCTCTACTGGGTATTTACCCCAAAGACTTGAAAATTCATATAGAAAACATATTTGCGCACCGATGTTCATAGCAGCATTATTCACGATGGTCAGGACATGGAGGCAAATGAAATGTCCTACAATAGATGATTGGATAAAGAAGCTGTGGTACATATATACAATGTAATATCACTCGGCCGTAAGAAGAGATGAAATACTGCCATTTGTGACAACTTGGATGGACCTCGAGATAATATCTTAAGCAAAAATAAGTCAGAGGGAAAAGAAGAATCATATGATTTCACTCATATGTAGGATGCAAACCAGAAAACAACAAATGGAGGAACAAAACAAAACAAAAAAATAAATAACCTAATGTTTTATCTTAAAGATAAAACATCTCTTTGATGCGGAAAACAGTATGGTGGTAGCCAGAGAGTGAGCGGGTA